CAGCGTCATTAGATCAATGTTAAAATGAACTCCAAAAATCAATACTATATTCAAAATCTAAATAATTGTTGTTAGGCATGAAATATTTTTCAAACCAATAATGAAATAAGATTATTGGGAATTGGGATGTATTAGGCGTTGACTTGTATACCTACCTACCTTCTCTTGTATCATTAGTTGATGCGCGTTGGTTGTAGATAGTAGATATTTTAGTCGTAAATTAAATATTTATTTTGTTTCTTTTTTAATTCTTTGCTGTGTATATAAATATTTAATATTGAAATGAGTTACAAATAAGGGTATCAATTAAGTTGATAAAAAGGGTTGTTTAAAATATAACTATAAAAGGTGTGATATTAAAATGAGACTGTAAAGTTGATTTGTTATCTTTAAATCATCACATTTATTATCTAGTTAATAATATGTTATATTTTATTGGGATAGAGAACAATTTTTTTTTAGGAGTAGTTATATCTAATGTGTTGAATTAGTATAGCCGTATTGGTATTTAATTTAAGAAAATCTAGTAAATTAAATGAGTATTCCTTACCCTTTTATAAAGATCTTGTTGAGAGAGGGTTGTAGCTGTTTTATTTTTTAATTTTATTTTCCGTTTTTCCGCCGACAGCAGAGGAGAGCCAGTTTGAACAATACTACTTATAGTTGTTTTATTTAAAGATATTAGATAGGTACATAAAATGTTTGCTGCATAAGAGCAGAAGAAATTAAACAAAATATAAAATAAAATATGATGGGCATTTCTATTAGATATAAAAAAAAAAACACGAGATTTTGAATGTTGTACTGCAGTATATTAATTATTAAATCAAAAGAATGAAATATCGATCATCTGTCTTACCTCAGAAAAATGAGATTGGCCATGACGGGGCCATGGTCAATCCTTGGACAAACCTTGGTAGATCTATGAGTTATGAGTTTATAACTCAGCGTTGGTACATGACAGCTGAGTGTGCTGAATGAGTGCTGTATGCCAAGTCGAATGGGGTTACTTATGTATAGACGATAATTGGTGATAACATTTGCATTATATATAATTTCGTAATTATTATATATGATTATATTGTCTTATTGTGTCTTGGGTATTACTAAAATTATTATAGGTACGTCAAAATAACACGCATCACATCATTCCATCTTGCCGATTTTATATTTTGATTATATTGATAATATTTAGAAGCTTATATTTTATGTACTAAAGCTTATTAGTAATTATAATAATTCATTTACATTTAAATGTAGCATGACGAAATCATACGTGTGTAATTTTATCATATTATGAACGTATTTAATCTAAAAATAATTATCTGATAATAGTAATAAATAATATTATAATAATTGCTTTTATAAATATTTACTATTGTCTATTTAGTATAGGTATCTAATGTAGGCATAACATTTAAAATTCATTTTTTTTTAATTCAATGCTATACTTTAATATGCATGATAATGTGATATGTTTTTTTTTCAACATACATTTTTAATTTCATGTTCCGAAATGAAATATTTTTCGGAGTACCTATTTCGAAAGCAAAAATCAAATTTTGAACAAATGCCTAGGTAGGTGGTTAATAAGTTATAAGTAGGATTCGTGACTCCTTCCTTATCTGTATGCTTTTTTTTGTGGTGATTGTTGAATATTTTAGGTATGGTATTATTTTTATTTATAAGAGAAATATACAATCAGCTGTACAAATAGCACATTAAACATAATTATATTATGTTATGAGAGTAGTTTTTTTTACTTAATTAAGAAGTCACTGAATAATAGCATTTAACTTGGAGGTAAATACATGATATAAATTGGTGAAATTAGTTATAATTTTATAAAGTTTAACAAAGTACATATTTTTGCATATTTTGTTTATTTTATAAATAATGCATTTTCGACAAATTTAATCGTTTTTATTGTTTTTAACAATTATGTTATATTATCATAATATAGTATAATATAATATTTTGTTCATATCCTCTGTTTTTTTCAATAATCGTAGTTTTCTATACTAGTATTTTAGAGCATTTTTAGCTAATTTCAATTGCATATTCACATGATGGATATTTATTTTTATAATGTACAAGAAGTTTCAAATCCTTTTTATAAGTAATCAAATACTTTAAATTTCAGATTTTTAGATCCGAACCAGTTTAAGCTTAAAGTAACTTATAATAATTGATGGGCGGAGTATGGCGGAGTGACCAACATTTTGCAAGGTACCCCTGTACACTCCACTTCTCTTTTCTAAACATTAAATATTTTTTTTGAAAATATATTGATTGCATTGAGTTAAGGGTGTCACCTAGTATGATGAATGAGATGAGTATAATATTTTTTAAAATATTAAAATTACGCTCGACTGGTTATAAACCGTAATAATTGTGGTTAACTTTAAATTTAGTCCTTGGGATTTGGAGAAAAATGTTATTCATTCTCCGGTAGGTTAGATCTTATAAATAGATTAGGTACTTTATTATACAAGGCACGAGTACCTTATAAACATTATATAACCATTAACCATACAATTTTTATATGGCAAATGCGATATATTACAGCCTTTATTTTCTGAAGGCACGCTAGTTTTTTTCATTAAACCCGCTTCATGATATTGTTAAATTTAAAAATAGGAAATAAATATTATTCCTACTGCCTATAAATACCCAATTGTTAGATACATATTTTTCTACACTTCAGTTTATAATATTTACGTAAGACACTAAAATAAGTAGTATTGTAAATTAGTATGCGTAATGGATGAAAACGACTATTCAATATTCACGGATGTATCTGTTTTATGCTCAATATGCGGACGTCATATTTTTTATTTGTTCAATCAAATCACTTTTGTTTTCTCTGCAGATGACGTCGATACACGCATAGCCACACGCGCGTATTTATATTAAAGCTGGCCATTGCGTATTTGCGTGCATGTGCTCAACCATCGTATACACAAGTGATTTATTAAAAACGTTTATCAGCGCATATTTTAATATGTACCGATAACGTATTTACGGAAACGCATTTTAATACTCGTCAATTTAATAACAACGAACAACGATAACCGATAGGCGATAAGTACCTACTTGTAAATATTTTTTTTATAATTTAACACTACATATTAATGCGTGTTAAACTTAATTGCAAAGAGTTAACTAAGATTTTTGCGTATTATGGGTACTGAAAACAAAAACGAAAAGGCCAAACTTCTTTCTCACACTGTGATACATTGATACAATAAAGTGCGGAAAGGGTATAGAGTATAGAACAGTCGTAAAATGAAGAGCTGTACAGTGTACATAATATAACAATAATAAACAATCACCATGAAATAATAATAAATATTATTACAATAATAATTAATAATATCATAATAAATCATCGTATTGAAATGGCGTAGGTACTCGGAACTAAAATCTATAAGACATAGATTATACTATATTAAGTTTTTCATTTTTTTTATTTTACACAATAATATAATATACAATCTGTACAATTATAGCTATATTAAGTAAATCTACATTCCGCGAGGTGGTGCATATACGAAAATAAAGGATTAAGGTAGATGTGCAATAATAATAATAACTACAAAAGTACTCATACAAATATCGAGTATATTTCATGGTAATAGTGTATCTTCTCCTCTACGGGACCCACAATAAATAATATCTAGTCACAAATCGCGATATTGAAGGTTTGCTCAGTGCCCCGAATTTTAGAGGCTATAATTATATATAGCACCACGAATCTCATAACGCGTACTGTACCGACGCCTATGAGGAGTACTCGTAAGTGGTGTAGGCGTTCTCTGTTCAAATGAATATTATGCGATTTTAAAAAAACTAATAAAACCGAATAACATAAAAAAATATTCAACAACATTAGGTTCCAGTGTTTCATCAAATGTCAGTAAACAAACCCGGTGTGAATCGTGCCAACGAATAATACGTAAATGGTGAATACATATACAATCACTATATATTTTCACGAACGATGAATAATACTACTACGAACTACTCAGCCAAAATTACTGGTTTCCTTGTCTTCTAAAAAATTATTTATCAACTATTTCCGTGAATTTAGATTTGATTTGAATTTGAATTAGAATTTCGATTTTGACCATCCAGGGTCAGATATAAGGATTATTATACCATCCCCGTCAAAGTTTAAAGCCAAAACATTTAACATTTAACACTTGAACAGTTACGCCTGTCGACAATAATATCATAGCCATTCGAATATCTTCAGTTTACACTATACAGACTACACTAGCAATACATAACTGCGTACATGCCACGAGTCTCGACGGATGCACGTGTCGGTCGTCACGTACTCACGTCGCATACGAGAAAAAAAATATTATTTTCATTTTAACATTGCGACATAATATCATATCTGTATCAGAGTGGCCTCTCGTTAATATATTATAATATTATACTATCCGTACGACTTAACTGATCGTTTTGGCACGCCAACTGTTGGTGAATAACGCTGTCGAGTGCAGTAGGTAAATAATTAAAAAACGGCAACATGCAATAATATTGTTTCGTGTTAACATCATTTAAATACTATATTTATAATGATAAAATGATAGTCCTAATCCAAAATAAATTGTAATAGGTACTCGAAAACGATCGCTTTTAGTCTATAATTGTATTTATCTACCTATATATAATATTATTATGTTAAAAATTCAAAACGAGCGCTATTTGTTAAAATATTTGTTACGAACAAATTAAATATTATTTCTGAAATGCGACATCGATAAAATGAAATGAAAGCTTGAATGTAAATGTTTTTGATTTAGCTTTTTTTAGTTTATGTACTTAAATTAGTATGTACAAAATACAAAAATTGTCCATGCTATGCATATTTTACATCACTCAGAAACGTAGGTAGGAAGGCACTTACTCACTATAGAGCTTAACGTTATAACATAATAAATATATTTATTATTATACTACAATATACAAGTATTATTCTATAAATAATAAAAAATATGCATTTAAAAGTACTAACATCGATTTCATTGAATTAATTTGACAAATATTTGAATTTTTAAAATACAACCATCGTGGATGCAAATATTATTATTGTGATTGTGTACACTGCATTTAACAGTATTATAGCGTAGAAGCTACTACAGTACCTACTACGTAGTATACTTAGTAACAATAAATGGTTTATGTCCGACTGCATAAAATAATATGTGGTCAACATGCGTGTCTCTGAAACATACAATAATAATTAATATGGGTACAATTTTATATTAGGTAGATTGATGGATTTTTGGATAATTAAATGTTTAAGATACGTAATACGTATATAAACATTGTTGCCGTGATGTCATAATGAAGTTAGAAACATATTCATAGTCTGTTTCTTTTTTTCAAAGTTAATCGATTTTTACACGGTTTAATATATATTCGTGAGCAAGATTCTAGTAGGTACGCCACTACACCTAAGCCTGTTTCCCCGAGAAACAAATCGAAAACGTAATAATAAATCTATATTTTAAAATATCGAGAACAATAATGGATAATTTCTGGTGTCCTGCAGCCGACGACAACGCCACAGGGTTGACGCATCATTATTATATGAAAACGTCATGACATGAAATATTGTGCTTGCGGTTGCTCTACAGAATAATAATAATATTATGTGCTCAGCGCGGCGGCGTGTACAGCCGGCGTGATGGGATCCTGTTACCCGGTAGCCGACGATGGTCTTTGTCGGAGAAAAAAAAATTGGTCGCCGCGTGCAACAGGTGTGTCCGTCGGCCAGCGATCACGACACAGCGACGACGGCCGCGAGAACAGCGACGATCGTCTTCATGCGGTCCTGGTAGTACAGGACTCCTAAACAATGCCCTCGCCGAGGACGGACGTTGTGAGCTCCGATCCGTCAGCACTTTCGAGCGCCGATCGCGCTTACGACCCTGGTAGACTGTCACGTTTTCGATGTACGAACAAAGAAAAGATTTCCAACGAATTTTAATTACATTTAATTCATATAATGACACTTTTTGGCAAAAACTCGAGGCTTTCGGGTATTGCGGAGGGTGCGTAAAATATCCAAAAATATTACATCGGAAGATCCAAACATTTATTATAAGAAAAATATTTTGAATGAACCGTTTATTAATCTGACAAATTTAATAACACATCAGAGCCGTTAATAATTATAATAATATGTAACTATTGTACCTATTTCGACAGTAAAAAACAGCAAAATTTCATACGAGTACGTAACGTAATTTTATCCAAAAGCTAGGTCGGACATTATTTTCTAACAATTTATTTTCGACTCGGTCATTTTTTAATGAAGTTTTCGATTAAAACATTTTATGTGTGCTTTATTTTTGTATCGAATAGTTTTTGGATAAAATACTTTTCTATTCAAATATTTTTCGTAAATATATTTCCGGATATTTTATTGTTGCTTTTTTGTTATTTATAAAGGAACGTACCAAGAAACGTGTGAGGACTTACAATGATCACTAAATATTTATAATACCACATATTTATTTCGATACAAGAATCAAAACACAAGATCTTTTTCTGCCAATTATTAGACATTTTGCATGTGATTTTGATTTATGTTGATTACATTTTTGTTCCTAGATCAAACAGCTTGAAAATTTAATACCTTCAAGCATAACAACCTTGCTCATAAGTTGTTCATAAGGTGCATTGTCATTATTTTACTAATATGTCACATTTTTTTAAAATTTTCAACTCCAATACCTACGAAATTGGATATTCAAACGTTAAATGAAGTTTTTTAATATTTTTTTTAGTTATTTTGTTGCAGTACAAAAATTATTATTCATAAAAACTTGAAACATTCTGTCATTGTCTATTGGATATTATGATTTTATAGAATACATAGAATATTTTGAGTTTGGTCCTTTCATCAAGATTATATTATAATATTGTTTTGTATCAATTTTGTAATGCATCTTCGTATTCGAAAATCAAATTAAATCACACGATTAATAAACCGTGGTTCCGAAACACTCTGCAACTGCCGATAACAGTGATAATAATTGTTTTGGGCGGACTTGGTGTCGACTTTATTCGGCTAGGAAATACTCCAATAGACATTATATTTTTTAATAGTTTAGTTATGCGCTTAATATGCGTATGAAGCATATTATAATTAATTACACGCAGCGAGGGACCAGGAAGCGTAAGCGTTTTTATTCATAGATTCGCGTCATTATAACATTACACAAAGAAAACATTTCAAATAATTTTACATTTTCCATTTCAACCTTACCGGTTTGGAGGTTTCCTCACTAATGTATATACCCGTTTGGTGGGATATAATTTTTTTTTGTACTCAACGTACTCTAGTATTATGTACTTGTTTTTAAAAGACGTAAGTACACGACAAATTGCACTAGTTATTCAAAATTGTTGTCGATATGTTGTACTACGACGTTTGCGAAAAGATAATAATATCTAACGAGTTACTGCCAACTTATTATTATCGTATGTATATAAATAGTGTTGTACACGTAATTTAGGTTTTTTTATCGCATTATTACTGCAAACTCATCGTCGTCGTCATTTGGTTAACGACGAAAACAATCCAAATACAAATTAATATCATCACTGCCACTACTCGAACGACGATTTCGATAATTCGGCGACGAAAAAATAGTATTTTAATTTCCGATGTTTTCGACGTTACGCTAACGACCGTCGGCAGTGCCGGGTGTGAGCGTTTTCTCCTGATATCCTGTTACGCCCACACTGCCTACGATATTGGAATACTTTGTTTTGTACAGTTCATTGCGATTCCGTGCGCACCAACATGATGTAAAACGACTCGATTTGGATGTATCACAGCCCGCGTATTTTATCTAGGTTTCACGCCTTCGAATATGATGATTTTCTTTTTTCGTCGTATAATATTGTATAATCGTCATGGTCGCAAAATGTTAATTTTTTGTTTGTTTTGGCGTTACCCACTCAAAGTATACGCAATAATAATCTAATTAGGGCTATAATCTGAAGCACAGTAGTCCTGTTGTAGGTGTTGAGTGTATACCTCGTCATTGAGGAAGTCACTGCAATGTTTATGTGTTACGTTTGAATTCGATGGTAAATAATATTGTCGAAACGGTCTATAAAGTCAGCCTATATTACTCAGTATATTTTATGGTATATTTATATTGCTATTACAGTAATTTGTTTTAATATCAGTAGAGTAAAATGTCTGTGTAGAAAAAACTGTTATAGATATTTTTTAGATTTCTTAAATAGATCTCGAACAATTTATGAGCAAAGTTGTATTTAATTTACAATTGTTAGCTGTACGAATTTAATATTTTATACATTTTTAATAAAAATTTGGTTAGAAAATGTTAGCGGTTTTGAGAAATATTTGAAATTGAAATATTTATAACAAAAAAAAGTCTATATATCTTTAATGTTTTAATATATATATATATGATAAAAAGTAAAATGCTTATGAGATAGACTTTTTTTATTTGTTATAGGTACAGAAAAACTTATGAGAAATGTTGTATTACATTTTCAAATCTTAGATATATAAAGAACATTTTTAACAAATTTCTAACCACCAAATAATCTTTCACATTTCATGATTTTAACTTATGAGAAACCTTGTAATACATTTTTAACGAGATTTATAAATAAATTAAACATAAATGTAAAGTCTATATAGACTCTATACATAGCTCAAAAAGCATCAAAATATTTTGAATTTAACATTATATTTTATTATATACATAGAAAATGCTAATACAAACATTCCATGACAATTTCAGGTATTCACGATTACCTATATCATTTTTGAGTTACAGCATAAAACAAAATCAATTTTGTTAAAAACTGGTTTTGCAATTTCCTTATTTTTTTTGTTTTTGAAAAATATTGGGAAATTTTATAGTTGACTAAAAAGTACCAACTACCTTCAATTTCTATCAGAAACCATCCCCAAAATTTAAAATCGAAATATTTTTTCTGCCGTAACTCTTGTACACATTCACAAAAAAACCCTACATGATTGTAAGATCAATACATTCATAAACCATAATACATCGCTCCACTCAGAATCTAAAATAGATCCGGACGTGTATCATAAATAGGCAAATTAAGGACATTGCTAACTAAATGTTAAAGGACAATGCAAAAAAAACATGCTATTAGGTACATATCCAAGCCCTAAACATAATATATGTTTTTCGAGACTTATATTTAAAATCTATGCACTCTCAAAAGTCTGACTTGGTCGTTGGTTTTGACCTATAAAGTGTCGCCTCTGATTTGTACTGCGCAAAGTAAATGTCGAAAAAATATGTAATTTATTTTATCATAATACTGGAGTATATTTATTGTATAGTAAAAATACATCTAGAAATTTTCGTCATCTCAAGATGAGAAATGTTTTCTTTGAATTTTACGTCCACTGTAGTTGAGTAACGCACTTATTTTAGATTCACACGAGGCCAAGAATCTGTCGGTTTTACAAAAATAATATTATTTCGTTTCATAAGTCATAACAGCGAATTGGAATAACGCGCAATACATACAATAACATGCTTTCTTCGTAAGTCATCGATGTTCGACGTTAACGTTCAATGATCCGAGCTCGTTTTTTTCCTAACATACATTGTCTTTGAATTTTGAAATAACAATTAAATTAACCACCAATTTATTGTTAACTACTGTCATTTGTTCGATTGCAATAATATTGACATCTGCTGAATGCCTGTATCATGCATGTATCATGATGTATTACGGTTTTTTTAAAAATTATTTCAGATGTGATTGTTAATTTAAATGTTATAAAAAACACTACATTAATAATCATCATATTGAAAAAAACACAATACTATTACCTACTCGCCGATAAGAACAAATGTCCATTTTTTTTATCCGTTCAGATAATTTTTCCTATTTGTGTATTGTTTTAAATATTAAGGATCCTGATATTATTATTATCCAGATAATGTTATCCAAATAACAATACTTTAACGTTGCCAGCGCTTTTGAAATTGCATTATTACTTATTATGTGTATTGGTAGGCACGTCTTGTGTGCTGTATAGGCACAATAAATGAATAAATTGAACAAACTCATCAAATATATTTTGTGAATAATAAAAATATTAAAAATTGTAAAAATGTGTTAGTCGAAATCCAATAATTCACTCTAACTTACCTATATATATATATTATAACAAAACAATAATTAATAGATGAGTATATACATTTAAACTACGAGTGAAATCTATTTCGATATGCTATATATATATATACGCTTATGTAAAGGTTATTAGAATTGGCATCAGGAAGAGTAATTCATTCTCTACACTTTGCCAAGAGACTATTTTCAGTTTCAAATGTACCTAGTCCACCTGAGTTTAAAGACCTTTAGAATAAAACAAAATAGGGAGATAGTAATTAATAATACAAATTAAAAATCAACTTACGTATGGGGCGCATTGTACTTCGGGGAACCGGCGAAATTATTCAGAAAGCTATTTTATTAAATAAGTTCATACCGACTGACAAGCCTTAATGTTTTGAGACTTGGTAATATTAGATGTATATAGAATCTATTAATACCTATGTATAAAATTGTATAAATGGAAAAATGGAAGTGAAAGCAGTAGTATAGTTTATCAATTACCTAACTTATAAAAACATTTTTTATTGCAATGTTTTTAGGGATGTTTCATTTTTATTCGAATACCTAATTCAAATAAATTTAATATTCTTATATCTTTATTCGTATATAGTATTATAAAATTATTATTATATTTTTATATTTATAAACGTATTATAATTTATAGTAATGTTTTTCAATAAAATCTCGAAACAAGAATAATAAGTTGTAAGAGCTGTAGTAATTATTATAATTTATAATATAATTATTATAGGTTTACATAATGTATTAAGTATTTCAGTATTCTCTGCTTTCAAATATAACTTGGTAGGTAATTAAAAACATTGACTATTAATATTGAAGGAATGCATGAATAATAAATTGCAATCAGTTAGTAGAATGTTACAAACTATTATTTAGACAGCATTTAATTAGAATATTGTATTGCCTATAAGTTAATACCAACTATTAAAAATAAAATATAAATTAATACATTTTATGAAATATTGAATAATAATTTGAATTTTTAATCTGTGAACATGTATACAGTGAAATACTGAAATTCTGTAATTGTGTACCCATTATATATTAATTTATAGGTATCATTAAAACATTGACATTTATGATATTATATTTTGTTCAATGTAATAAAACATTTAATGCATTAATATATATTACACGAGTTAGTCTAATTCAATACCATCAGATGATTATTTATTAGCTTATTACCATGTATTTATAGAACTATCTATAGTAATTATAATGATATTACATTTTTATAACATGGACCACGAAAAATTGATTTACCTACCTAAAATATATTAAGTTGTTATTTTTTAAATTCAATAAAATATGTATAGTATTTTTATACTTCAGATTTAAAGCATACATCTGTAGGTGCACAGTCTAAAATCGATCGACACAATACAATTTTGATGAAATAATTATATTTTGTATTCATAACATACATAAATATAAAATAAAATAGAAATATTGTTTATTAATAAGTGCCGAAATTCAAAAAAGTAAATACAATTTACGAATTTAAATAATAATTACAATGACGACATTGTGTTTGATAATAATATTAACAGTTTATTTTACACTCATTAACTACTAATAATTAAGGACTCTTAGTATTTATGAAATAGAAATTAAATGTTCACTATTGCACTGTATTATAGTTAAAGTATATATTTTATAGGTAGAAAAATGGCTCAACAAGATACAAGCAATGATGCGTGAAACGATTAGGCATAATTTTTTAGAAAGTACCTTATCCTATGAAGAGAAACCAAGAGAACAGTGGTTGTTCGACTATCCTGCTCAAGTATCGTTGTGCGGTACTCAAATTTGGTGGACTACGGAAGTAAACATTGCATTTGCCAGGCTTGAAGAAGGCTACGAAAACGCCCTGAAAGATTATCAAAGAAAACAAGTGATTATAAAAAAAAATATTTATAAAACAGAACGAATGTCGAATACCTACGTCATGTGTGTAAAAATCATAATTAAATTTTAGGAAGAAAAGGAGGGGCCTTAAGGTTGGTACTTAGTAAACCAAAATATCGAAAATGATATATTATATTATACCATTAAGAGGACGTCGCATGTGTTGTTTCCGTCTTACACACGTACGATACGTATAGTAAATTTTCGTTCAACAGATCCAATAGTGTGATGTTAGTTTTGATGTTAGAATGAATTGACCTATTATAAAATTTAAAGGTAATATTATTATCTAGGGTCTCAAGTAGGATTTTATTGATATTATTATTTTTAAGTAAGTTATGCATTTTTTGAAAACGTTAATTTGAAAATGATCATGACCCACTTAAAAATAATAATATCAATAAAAGGCTAAATGGGGACCTACATAATAACCTTACCTTTACATTTCATAATAGGTTAATTCATTCTAACATCAAAACTAACAGCATACTATTGAATCTGGTGAACGAAAATTTGCTATATCGTACGTGTGTAAGACGGAGACGACACATGCGGGTACGACATCCTCTTAAGATTTAATTTAAGACATGACAATATTTAGTGAGAGTGTGTTGGTGGCGGAGTGGGGGTGTTGTGGGACTATTGCAATATTTGGATACAAAACTCATGCGGTCATCCATTAAAAATTTCCGTATTCTGTTTGTGTAATATAGTGAAGGTACAGAAAATCAATACTCAAAAAGTCATAACTCATAAGTCATAAGTGATTCATAACAATAATTATTATTGGTAACTGATAAATGATAAATTCACTTGTCAAATATTATCGAGTAGGTAGCTAAGTACTGACTTTTTATTTTTATCTCAATGAAATGAATTAATATTACTTTGAGGCTTAATGCAAATATTATGTTGCCAACGATATTGTATATTTAAATTAGTTTGGACAAGAAATTATAATTTAAATTTAAAACACCTACAAGTAGAGAATTAATCATAATGTATATGAAATATAATATTATATTGAATATTGATACACAATCATCATTACTCACTTCAATTATTGATCACCGAAAAGAGACAAAGAATTTTAAATACATTTTATTTTCATTTCCATTTGTATATATATGTTAAAAATCTATTTATTTTACCATTTTGAAAGCATATTATAATAAATATCATAATTATTCTAAAAATTGAAAAATGTATTCAAATTTATCATTACAGATAAAAATGTCTTATTATTATTATGATTGAGTAACTTGAACGATTTATTTTTTAAAACTATATTATAATTAAGTATTTCAAGTTTATTTAAATTAACTAAATTTTTGTTTTAGCTTTTCGTAATCGTATTTTATTGTTTTTATAACGAGTTGGTATATCTTACAGTTAACCCACATACTATTATTATTGGTATGTAGATAATTCTTATTGTGTGTTTATGAAATGTGTATTCGTTAATATATAGATTTCTCAACTGAACACACTGATATCATTATTACTGGGAGAACTGACCAGGCAAGACAGACAAAAGATAATGACAATTTGTACGATTGATGTGCATTCTAGAGACGTCGTAGGTAGATTAATACAATCGAAGATTGAAAACGTTCTTGCGTTTCAGTGGCAATCGCAACTCAGACACAGGCAAGTCAATATTTAGATGATAAATAGATGAGAACCTTTTGAAATTTACCAAAGTTTAAGTACAAAATACATCCTATGTATATACGTCATACGTTACGTGTGTATGGCACTCTGTGAGTAATGAGTATGCGACAACATAATGTTTGATGGTTAATAATTTATTATGTATAGTTACCTATAATGCAGTGGACATCGCTTTACGATTTGCCACAGAACTAATACTATATACCTTACTCAAATATAATAATAATAATAAATATATAAAAGCATACCAATAATATCCTTAATACCTTATTACTGATAGTTCTCTCGTCTGTGTCTTTATACACTTTATATATTATAAAGTTACTACAGAAAATTATTTTAATTTCTACGCATAATGATCATTTTAACTTAAGATAAATATAATGGAAAGTCAAGGAGTTTGCGGTCCACTACTATTACTCAAATAATCTATAAATATTGTAAATTCTAATTAATAAAAAATTACTAGTTACATATTCCATATATTTTGTACATCAATAAATTTGGAAAGTTCTTCTGCTACATATTATGCAGTTCAAAATATGTGGTACTATTAAAAGTATCATGTTAAACATATTATTCATTATAATTTTTCCAGCTATTTAGCTTAATACTACAAAATTAACAAAGGTATAATGATAATATAGTTTCAAGTTTGTGATAAAATAAAAACTACCTAAAAAGTATATATTATCTGAACATTCTATATTCATGGGCTTAATACTTTTAATTTTAGGTGGGACGAAAAGGAAAAAGACTGCTTTGCTAATATCTGTGATGCACAATTTCGATACAGTCACGAATATTTAGGAAACACTCCGCGTTTAGTAATCACTCCTTTGACGGACAGATGTTACATAACCTTAACGCAAGTAAGTACCACAATTTACTATCATTTTGTGAATGAATTAAAAGAAATTGTTTTTTTCATATTTATTAGTCATTACATTTGGTAATGGGTGGAGGACCTGCCGGACCCGCTGGAACGGGAAAAACAGAGACAACTAAAGATCTCGGTCGCGCTCTCGGCGTCATGGTTTACGTGTTCAATTGTTCAGAGCAAATGGATTACAAGGTATAATATCATGTCTTACGTATTTTGAAGCGTGACCAATAAACATAACTGTTTCACAAACAAATTTATACGTTTCAGTCGTGTGGCAACATTTATAAAGGATTGGCCCAGACAGGGGCCTGGGGTTGTTTCGACGAGTTTAACAGAATATCTGTCGAAGTGTTATCAGTAGTGGCTGTCCAAGTGAAGTCTATTCAGGTACATGGTATTTAAATATTATTGATGATGCTTTATTATAGATTAAGTACCTACTTACATTATTTCATTACCAGCAATGATTACAATATACCTAATAATAATTATTCGTTTCAATGTTAGAAATTAATATGATTATAATAGGAAATACTATTTTTCCTTCCCAGGATGCGATTCGAGAAAAAGCACTCACGTTTAATTTTATGGGAGAAAAAATAAGCTTGATTCCGTCTGTTGGAATTTTCATTACGATGAATCCAGGTTATGCTGGTAGAACAGAGTTACCGGAAAATTTAAAAGCTCTATTTAGGTAGTGTATAGAACAAATAAATCTATTATTTATCTATTGATCAAAATAATCGGCTATTTTTACTAAATAAGCAATTTCAATTATTACAGACCGTGCGCCATGGTGGTACCAGATTTTGAACTAATTTGTGAAATTATGTTAGTTGCTGAAGGATTTCAAGAAGCCAAAATTCTTGCTAGGAAATTTATAACTTTGTATACGCTGTGTAAAGAGCTGCTTTCCAAGCAGGATCATTATGACTGGGGTTTAAGGGCCATAAAGTCTGTGTTAGTTGTGGCTGGTTCTTTGAAGGTGAACTATTTGTATTATTCATAGCACGAAACGCCTTATCAAAATACTAAAAATTAATAATATAGAGAGGCGATCCCGGGCGGATCGAAGAAGAAGTGTTGATGAGGGCCTTAAGAGATTTCAACATACCAAAAATTATTAGTGACGATGTCCCGGTATTTATGGGACTGATTGGCGATTTGTTTCCATCGCTGGACGTGCCCCGTAAAAGGGACCAGGATTTTGAAAAGACCGTCAAACAAGCGGCCGTCGATTTACTGTTGCAACCTGAAGAAAATTTCATACTCAAAGTACTGACCGCCATGTAGCTACTTATGGTGTTAGCGTAATAATTACGTTTTATTAAACAGGTTGTACAGTTAGAAGAGCTTTTGGAAGTTCGTCATTCAGTATTCGTAGTCGGAAATGCGGGCACTGGTAAAACCGAAGTTTGGAAAACGTTATTTAGGACTTATCAAAACATAAAACGAAAACCGACTTACAACGATTTGAACCCAAAAGCAGTAACTAATGACGAACTATTCGGTGTCATTAACCCTGCTACCCGCGAGTGGAAAGACGGTAAATTTCAATTTCATCGTCTTTTAAAAATATTGCTTGAATAAAATAAATAATAATTATTATTATTATTAATATTATCTATGGCATCATAATATATCATTGATTTTAAACTTACAAATTAATGATTTATTTCTTTTATCGTTTTAAGGTTTATTTTCTGTAATAATGAGAGAACAAGCGAACATCCCGAACAATTTTCCCAAGTGGATTCTGTTGGACGGCGATATTGATCCGATGTGGATTGAATCACTGAACACTGTGATGGACGACAACAAGGTATTGACACATATTGTATAAAATAGTATAAAATATAATACATAATCCATCGATTTGAATCATCTGCGTGGTTTAGGTATTAACATTAGCCAGCAACGAACGTATCGCCTTAACTCCTTCGATGAGACTCATTTTTGAAATATCCAACTTGCGAACAGCCACACCAGCCACCGTATCCCGAGCGGGCATTTTATACTTAAACCCGCAAGACTTGGGATGGAATCCGTAAAAAAATTATATTTATTTATAAAATCTAAATAATCTGCAATATTATTATCTTTTTACGTAATTTACAGGTATGTGACAAGTTGGATTGAGACCAGAGAGTACGCTGTGGAGAAGAGTAACCTCGTCATCCTGTTCGATAAATACATACCACCATGTCTGGAAAACATTCGTAACAGGTTCAAAAAAATCATACCAATTACGGAGATGTCACATATACAAATGCTGTGTCATTTGCTCGAGTGCATTTTAGTGCCAGCAAATACACCGACGGACTGTCCGAAGGAATGGTATGAACTATACTTCACGTTTGTTTGCATATGGTCGTTCGGAGCTGCTATATACCAAGAACAGGTGAGAACGGAGATCGGTAAACGTGGTTGAAAAACAATTAAATAACACTTATTTACCACCATGTAAAATATTTTAACGGAAAACAGCACTCTGCCCCTTGAAAAAATGTACACTGGCAACAAAAAGTACACAACTATACGAGTAATAAACTCCAATCGGGCATGTTAGACAACTAAGCAATTGAGTATGGTAGTTGTGATGTCCAATAAGTAAAGAGTGGCGCAAATCAGGGAGAGGAGATTGTAGCTTCTAAAATTTCGACAAATCCAAATATATCTTACACGGGCTATATACAGCATATTATCCTACAGGGTTATATATTATTATTGAT